CCTCTAGGCTTCCAAATCTGCAATCCTTGCTATAAGCTTTTCTTCCACAGAATAAAGGCAGGACACCAGACCTAGGCCAGGACTGGGTTCTGGTCTAAGGCCTAGTTTGTGAGGTCCTTTGTTTATAACACTCAGCCTCCCCAGAAATCCTTCATCCTCCCCATTGGCTAGCCAAAAATGCCCCTTCCCTTGTGAAGTCATCTTCTCCTCTTCCTTCTACACCCTCGTAGTGCCTACCCACTCCTATCCAGGTTTGCCAATTACACCAGTTCTATCAGTTTTCCAGATAAACTCTTTATATAAAGTCCTTGCATTCTTGCTGGGAGAATTAAATTGAATTGGCACAGGAGTAGCCAGTCAATAAATATGGAAAAGGGAGGAGAAGAAAAGGAGGGAGAAGGGGAATAGAGAGAGAGGAAGGCAGGGAAAGAGGAAGGAAGGTAGAGGGAGGGGGGAGAAGAAGAAGGGAGAGGGAGGAGGGCCACTGACCGAGGTTCCAGCTGAAGCAGACACTATCCAGTCAATTCGTCCCATTTAGCCCTACTAGTACCATCACAAGATATTTGTAATTATTGGCCTCATTTTTCAGATAACTCAGAAATATGATCTCATTTTCCCACATGAATGATATAGTGATTTGAACCCAAGTGTGTTTGGGAGACAGGATTCAGGCACAGAATACTGCTTGGTTTCCACTTGTTTGGTGTAGGGCAGATTTCTACCTATTTTTCAAGACTGACTAGTTGTTTGCCTGTAACTCCCTACTCATTCATATATTTTCCTTCCTTTTGCCCCCACCCCCATTAGTTTCCACATTATCTTCTCCCTAATTTCCTGTTGCGATGTCTCTCCTTTCTCACTTGTTTCCTTTTCCCTTACTGAGAAGTGGGGGCACCCAGTGCAGCAGTGATGCTGATGTTCCCCTGTCCAACTCCTGGGCTGCCTCTGTGGCCCAGGGAGGTGGGGGAGGCTGCTCTTCCTTCCCCTCCTTCCTGCCATTCCTATAAGTTCTGCTCTTCAGAGGAGTTTCCTGGAAGAATTCATTGGGTTTCCGAGAAAACATTTCTGGTCACCTTCTCTTTAAGTGACTTTAACTCATGACTTTTGGTGTGTTAATTAGCTTCAGGTGCAATCTTTGCATATCTGCATTTAACATTTGAATGTGTCCACCAGAATGTGTCCACCCGAGAGGCCAGCAGCTGCATGGGCACAGGCAAAATCATCAAGATGACACAAATGGCCTTTTGAGTGGCCCTCAAGTGGGAGGCAAGGGACTTGTGTCCCTTTCCCTCCACTGTCTTGGGGCAGGTCCTTTTCTTTGTCTGGTCTTGAATCTTCCCATGAAAGGAGTAATAACTTCCTTGGCTTTTGGGTGAAATTATATTAGCTCCTTGGGGTAAACTAAAAGACTTCAGAGGTAATAGACCTGTACTCAGGCAGGATACCTTGAGTAAGGAAAGTAACGTCCCCAGCAGAGAGACTGGCAAGCGTCAGCCTTGCTGGGCCGTTATGAGGGTAAAGTGAGATAAAATATATGACAGCCACTATCACTTAATGCCTTAGCCTCCCTGGCCTTCAGCTTCTTCATTGGTAAAATCAAAATCATAGCTCCTGCTTTACTCATTCAACAAGTGTTTATTGAACCAAATAATGCAAATACAAAAATGAATTCACCAGACAGTTTCTAGCTTCTCAGAGACCACAGTTTGAGGTTTTTCATTATTTGTCCTTTCAAGAAATATTTTTACAGAACATTTACTGAGTAACAGGCTGCATAATGGGTATTAGAAATACTATGGTTAATAAAGCAGATTCAAGGCTCGGCGCCTGTGGCTCAAGCGGCTAAGGTGCCAGCCACATACACCTAAGGTGGCGGGTTCGCATCCCCAGCCCGGGCCCACCAAACAACAATGATGGCTGCAACCAAAAAATGGCCAGGCGTTGTGGCGGGCGCCTGTGGTCCCAGCTACTTGGGAGGCTGAGGCAGGAGACTCGCTTGAGCCCAGGAGTTGGAGGTTGCTGTGAGCGTGATGCCATGGCACTCTACCCAGGGGGATAGCTTGAGGCTCTGTCTCAAAAAAAAAAAAAAAATAAAGCAGATTCAATTCCCAACTACTTGCAGAATTATAGCTTAGAGAAAATATAGTAAAATAATCTAGTGAAATGCTGATATATGCCAAGTCTCAATAAATAAGTTATCTGGTTGTTAATCAGAAGCTATGTATGTGGGTTGGGTGTCTAGTGGACCCCAATCTTGGACAGTGGTCAGCAAGGGAGATGGTGCTGGGGAAATCATGAAACTTACACCAAACTTAGTGCATAAAACGGGAAGCCTGTATGGGCATAAACTGTTTCATGTGCCTGGTGGCAGCATGAAAACAATGCAGCACCTGTTCTGTTTCCTGGGATCTTTTTATTGGGTACCTAATAGAGTATATGTGCAAGAATGGCAGCAGTCAAGGTTAAAAATGAGAGAGGGGAGAGTACAGCCCCCTGTAAGATTGGGTAAAGGATAAACAGTGACATAGGGCAATGGAACATCTGAAGCAGTCAGATAATGGTGCAAGAGGGAGAGAGAGGGCAGAGAGCAAGCCTCATCTCCTCAGGCAGACATCTCAGCTTCTTTAGCCTAAGCTACTGGTTGATGGCCTCAGTTTGCCTGCACTGCTGATTTGCCCATGGAGGGATAGTCATGCAGACGTTCTTCTGACTGAGCACCTTTAGACTCCTTTCTCCACAATTAGGAGTACAGGGGTGGCCCACCTGTGGGCTTTACCCTGTCTTTTGAAAGGCCCAGGAGGTCTCAGCCTATCTATTCCCACATATGTGTAGCTTAGAAAAAGTTAATTCATAAAATGTGGAACATTAATGATTTCTTAACACATGAAATTTTTTTGGTACACAGGAGCTTTTAAACTATAGGGATAGTCCAAAAAATGAAATATTTAGATGTACACTTACTTAACAAAACATGGGCAAGATCTATATGCTAAAAATTACAAGATGCTGATAAAACAAAACAAAGAAGACTTAAATGAGTGGAGACCGAAATTAGTGGAGAGGCATACTAGACCTGTTCATGGACTAGAAGACACAACATAGTAAAGATGTCAATTCTTCTCAAAGTGATCTGTAGGTTTTATACACCTCCTATCACAATCCCAGACAGGAAAGTTTTCTATAAATATAGACAAGCTCATTCTAAAATTTATATGGAAATTTGCAGGCCCTAGAAGATCTGAAACAATCTCGACAAAGAAAAACAAAGTGGGACAAGTTACTCTACTCTATATTAAGGCTTACTATATAAGTACAGTAACCAAGACGTGTGATATTGGTGCAGGAATAGAAACATAGATCAATGAAATAGAATAGAGAACCCAGAAATAGACCCATACAACACGTTCAATTGGTTTTTGACACAGGTGCAAAAGCAATTCAAAGGAGGAAGGATAGACTTTCAACAAATGGTGCTGGGGCAATTGGATATCCACAGGCAAAAAATTCACCTTGACTTAAGCCTCATACCTTGTACAAAAACTAATTCCAAATGGCTCACAGACACTGTGATAAAGCATAACATTTTTGAAAAGGAGAAAATCTTTGAAAGGTAGGGTGAGATGAAAAGTTCTTGATGCAAAAAGCACAATTCAAAAAAGAAAAATGATAAATTGAACTTCATCAAAATTTAAAACTCTCTCCAGAAGTCCATGTGAAAAGGATAAAACATAAGCTGCAGACTGAGAGAAAATATTTGCAAACCATATATCCAAAGAAGGACTAGTATCTAAAATAAGCAAAACTCAGCTGTAGAAAAACCAAACAAGTTAGCAAATGGTCAGTAAACATGAATTCAGATATTTCATTGAAGAGGATTTGCAGATGGCAAATAAGCACCTGAGTAGAGGTTCATCATTATCAGCTATCAGGGAAATACCCATTAAACCACAATGAGATGTCACTAGCCATCTATCAAAATGGCTAAAATAAAAAATAGTGAAAAACACCAAATATTGGTAGAGATGAAGAGAAAACAAATCACTCACATATTGCTGATAGGAATGCACAATTGCATAGCCATTCTGGAAAACAGTTGGATAACTTACAAAATTATCATGCAATTACTACATGATTTAGGCATTTATCCCAGAGAAGTGAAACTTATGTTTACACAAAATCCTGTATAAGAGTGTTCTTAACAGTTTGATCCACAAAAGTCAAAAACTGTAAACAAGTCTTAAACAAATGTTGAACAGGTTTTTCAGTGGGTGAAGGGTTAAATAAACTGCAGTATATACATATCATAAAGTACTATGCAGCGATAAAAAGGAATGAACTACGACTGATACATGTGGCAAACTAGAAGAATCCCCATGGAATTACATCACAATTTTAAAAAATCCTCAAAGCTTACATACTCTTTGATTCCATGTCTATGACATTTTGAATTGTCAAAATTTCAGAATAGAAAATAGATTAGTGGTTTCCAGGAGTTAGGGAGAGTAAGGGTGAGGTTTAGAGAAGTAGAGGGCACCAAAGGTCAACACAAAGCTCCTTGTAGTTTTAGAATTCTTCTGTATTTTTTTTTATTTCAGATTAATATGCGGGTACAAATGTTTAGGTTACACTGTTTTCATTTCTAAGGTAAAGTTCAAGTTGTGGTGATAGGTTACACAAACCTACACGTGTAACAAAATTGTTTAGAATTAAACATGCACAGAGAGAAATGAGGATAAGTAAAATGAAGTCCAGATAAGACCAGATAGATCAGAAAAATCATTCTGAAATATAATCTTTTGATGCATTTCTTCCTGGTCTGTGTTTTCTACATTTATATGAAAAAAAAAATGTGAGGGATGGGGCTAGATATCTCACCTTCTGTGACATCAGAACTCAATGCTCACAGGATGCCTGGTGACCAGAGGTGGGGGAGGGGAAGGGTGCCTATCTGCCTGTCTAGTGGAGGACTTCATTCCACCCAGGCAACCTTACCTGAGGCCATGGTGATCCAGGTGGGCAGCAGGGGCCGAGTGGCAGCTCAGCTACTTGAACAGAGAAGCAACGGCCACTGCGAGGACAAGAAGCAGGTGAGACCAGGCCAGGTGCATGCTGCTTTCTTCTCATTTGGGCTCCCTTTACCACTCCAGACAGGCTGTAAGGCCCTCAAAGTCCAGAACAGGTCTTGGACCCAACTCTCCCTGGAGTCCACCCTCATGGAGCACAGTGTAGGGGCTTAGATACGTCTCATGGAAGCCATTGCTGTCCTACCTTATGTCATTCTCCTCACTGCCCACAGGAAGTCTGTTTCAGGAGTGCTGGGGGTTTTGTTTCTTTCCTACTGAATCCCTGGTGCCTAGAATGGTGCTTGGTGCATAACAGGTGATGAATGAATTAGCTAAAATAAATAGGCTAATGCTCTTAAAATGGAGAGATCCCTGAGGATGGATGATTCCTTCTCAGGACTCAGGGTTGAAATCCCTCAACCTCATGTGGAATTGTGTCAAAATGGAAAGCATTAGCATTCACTGTGCATAGCCTGGTGCTTCCACATCCCCTTTCTTTCATAACTTAAAACATTCCTGAGAGGCAAATGCTATCAACCTCATTCACAGGTGGGTGTAATGAGGCTCAGAGAGACAAAACGACTACACAGCTGGGACATAATCAGGATTTGAAACCACATCCATCTGATTTCAGAATCCTCCAACATCTTGTCCCTCTGATAGAACAGCCCTGAGCAAGGCTGACACTGTGCTCCACTGGCCTCCTGTTGGGGGAAGAGATGGGAAGGGGTGTAAATGGAGGCTGGGAATCTCAGCCAGTGCTTGAAAACCATGAAAAGGGGTGAGATTTTATTCTCACTATAGTAAGAAGGTCTTAAAGTGTTTTAAGCAGAGCAATGAATGACTGACCTTTACTGTACATGTTCTCAAAACACTCATTCACTGTTTTGTTTACCTGACAAGCACCAGGTAAAGGTCTCTTATGATATGTTGGACCTCTTAGCACATGGTGGGGGCCTTGATGAGCACCCATCATTCTATAGTTTTCCCAAGAAGTGTTCCACAAATACCAAACCTCAGGAATGCTTCCTTTAGGAAAAAATAGCAAGAGTTCTGTGGTTTAGGGACCACTATATAAAAGAGTTCTGTGGTTTAGGGACCACTATCTACCCTCTATGCATTTCCTGTCCCCGCTTGGAGATTTACACGGCTCATTCACATAACATGGACTCTGAGACGTCCACTCGCAAGGAAATCCACTGTGCTTTGTTTACCACAGCGTTTCTCAAATAGATTCTACCACTGGTTCCCATATTTTCTTTTAGAAAAACCTTTCAGCATATTTCAAAATCCATTTTACAGAAGAATAAACTGAGGCTCAGAGACAATAAATGGTTCTGCTCAGGCACCAAGATAGCACAAAGAAAAGGACTAAAACTTAATCCCAGTCCATGCTTCTCTCTTTGCCTCCACACAGCACAGCATAGAAAGCCGGCAGCAAGGATGCTGGGGAAGAAATCAACCTAGAAAGCACGTTGACAGAGGCCTGGTTAAAAAAAATAGAAGAGTAACCAGATCACAAAATATGCATCAGCCATTTTAAAGAATGAGTGTCTGGGTGTTGCCCATGAAAAGACTCCTAAGGAATATTGTTAAGAAAAAGTACCCGAATCTTAAATGTACAGTGCAATGACTTTTGCTTTGGATATATAAAGCTAGGCCACCAGCACAATAGCACTTTTCTAGCACCTCAGAAGGCTCCTTTGCGCCCTGGCCCAGATGGCATCCCATGCTCATAACCGTGATTCTGATTTCTATCATCAAAGATGAGTCTTGTTCTTTCTTGAACTTCATGTTAATGGAATCAGACCGTGTGTACCTTTGTATCTGGCTTCTTTCACTTACCATTGTATCTGTGAAATGCAACCCTGTTCTTGTTGTGTAACTCATTTTTGTTTTTTAAAGTTAGTAATAATAATAATATAGCTGTTAGCATACATAAAGAAAACTAGGGGAGAGACAAATTAGACAAATCTTTTATCTTCTTTGTTGTGGTAGCAGGTCTAAATCTTGCTTCACAAATTTGGGTAAGAAATGTATTATTTTTATTGTTTGTTATTATTATTTTATAATTTAAGAAATGTATTATTTCTATAAGGCAAACTAAATATGACCCAGCCCAAATCTAGTGATTTGCAGCAAAATTTGATGTTAGTCAGTATGTACACATACACACACATATATTTGAAAAATGAGAAAAATTTAAAAGCAATGACCAAATTTTCCAAATTAGAGGGCAGAAAAAGAAAAATTAAACTCAATAGTAGAATGAAAGACATATTAAATTATACATTAATAAAATATATAGCAGACAAATAATGAAATAAAGAAGTCATTTTTGAAAATACTAATAAAATTGGTAAACTTCTAATTTTTAAAAAACCATAAAAGAAAACACATATTATTGGGCAGTGCCTATGGCTCAAAGAGTAGGGAGCTGGCCCCATATACTAGAGGTGGTGGGTTCAAAATTGGCCCTGGCCAAAAACTGCAAAACAAAAGAGAAAGAAAACACAAATTATTAATTATCAAGGATGAAAGAGGTAAAACTTCTGAAATAAAAACAAAAGGCAAATATGAGCATGAATTCTTAAATAAAAGAATAAAAGAAGTCTCCTTCTTCCTCTATCTCTTTTCTTTATAATTTTGTTTAAGTGAAAGAGAGACAGATATCACAACAGTTCCCACAGGCATTAAGACAATATTAAGGTACTATTAGGAACAACTTGATGCCAATATATATGTTAACTTAGGTGAAATGGACAAACTTTTTAGATAATACAACTAACAAAGAAATGGAAAGTCTTAATAACTACAGGTCCAAAAGTTTTCATCAATAAATTCTATCAATCACTCAAGACAAAAACAATATCAATCTTCCATAAGTTCTTCATAAAATAAAGGAGGAAGAAATTCTTACCAACTCACTTTAAGGGGGCAACATAATCTTGGTCCCAAAACATAACAAACAAATAGGAAAAAATTCAAACCAATCTCTCATGAATGCAGATTCAAAAAAAAAAAAGAAGCCCTCAACAAAACAGTAGCAAATAAAATGCAACATGATATAAAAAGGGTAATGCACCATGAACAACTACAGTTTACTGAGCAAGCTCACAGTTGGCTCAATATTCAAAAGTCAATTAATGCAATTTAGCACAAAAAAGGAATATTCATATAATCACTCAGTGAATACAGAAAAAGTATTTCACGAGTTCCACACTCATTTGTGTTAAAGTTCTCATAAAACTAGGAATACAAGGAAACTTCATCCAGCTGTAAAGGCAGTAATAAAAAATTAACACTGCATTCTTTCCCTCTAAGATATGAAAAAGATAATGATATTCAGTTTTAACATTTTACTGGTGGTTCAATACACAAGACAAGAAAAAAAGACTGATGATTTTTTTAAAGATAAAGACTAGAAAGTATAAGATAAACTTTCTTCATAGACAACTCAATTTTCTATATATAAAATCCTAAACTCTATCAAAAAAACTATTAAATTAAGTCACAAGATAAAAACTCAACTGTATTTCTATAGACTATCAACAAATAATTGGAAAATGAAAATTTTAAAATATTATTTATAATATCACCAAAAACCATGCAACACTTTGCAAAGGTGTGCAAGGTCTCTATATTTGAAAACTGCAAAACATTATTTATATAAATGAAAGAAAAAAACCAATGAAGAGATATACCATGTTCATGGATTATAAGACACAATATTTTTAAGACATTATTCTTACCCTTTGGACTATACATTCAACATAATATCGATCAAAATCCCCATAGGTTTTCTTATAGAAACAGAAAAAGATGATTCTAAAATGTATATGAAAATGCAAAAGATGTAGAATAGTCAAAACCAATTTGAAAAAGAACAAAGCTGAAAAATTTACACAATCTGATCTCAAGTCTTATTATAAAGCCATATTAACCTAGTTGATCTGGTATTCTATAAGACCAGATATATAAATCAATGAAACAGAACAATGACAATGAAGTCATTATGGACAGAACTATGTCCCCCAACATTCACATGTTGAAGCCCTAATCTCCAAAGTGACTCTATTTGGGTATCAGGCCTTAAAGGAGGTAATTAAAGTGAAATGAGGTCATAAGACTAGGACCCTAATCCCATGGGACTGATGTCCTTATAAGAAGAGAAGAAATACCAAGGATTTGCAAGCACAGAGAAAAAGCCACTTGAGGATACAAAGGGAAGGCACCACTTGCAAGCCAAGGAGAGAGACCTCACTAGAAACCAATCTGCCAGCACCTTGATGTTGGAATTTTCAGGCTCCAAAACTGTGAGAAAATAAATTTCTATCATTTAAGACACCCAATTTTGGCTTGGCGCCTATAGCTCAACCGGCTAAGGCGCCAGCCACGTACACCTAAGGTGGCGGG